ATTCATCTTAACTCACCCAATTAACCATTGAATACGACATTGTATTAAGGCATTTCTTCAACTCTTGTTTCTTCTCCTAAAAATATGCAATATTTTTTCGTTGCATAAACGATTTTGATAATTATGTAAATAAGAGTAATATTTTTTCCTCTTTGTTATATTAAAAGTATTCTCAATGTTACATTACAAATCATTAGTTTGATTCAGATTTATTTTTTTAAAAATATAAAAAAATTTTTCGAATTATTTAAACTGTGTAATTACTAGTTCACATTGATATTCACGGAAACAAATTTTGCAATAAAACCTTTCACATATACGTTATGCAGTATCTAGATTACATAAAAAATAGTAAAAATATTGATTTAAAAATCTTTCAATATAATCTTTTAAAAACTAAGTTTTCCAAACTTTTCTTGTAATTTTGTAAGTTTTTCATTTCAAACAGGGGCTGTTTTGCTCTTTCACCAGCGCAGAGTATAGTTGTTAAAATTATGATTTTATTTATACAAGACGAAAACCTGATGTCGCATAAGTAGGTTGTAAAATTTTATTTCGTATTAAGCTGACAATTGCTTAATACTGGCAAACCTTATCAACATCAAGTACATTTCGATAGTTTTGCTCGAAATATTTTAGTTATTTAAAATATTAAATTGCCGCAAATACAGAAATTCTATTTAAATCATTTAATAAATTGTTTTTAATTATATCATTTAATATTATAAAAAATTTTTAATTTGTTTAATACATATTTTACGGATTATATAATCCAACAAAAAAGCAAAATAATTCCTTCCCAAATTATACTGAAAAAATAACCTTTTTCAATTAAAGGTAAAACCTCAAAACATACAGAAAAAACATAATTACTTAACTTCAATTTAGAATTTTTTTATTCAATTTTCAAGATAATTATGTACCTCCGTAACTACCTTAAACGCATTGATCCTTTAACTTCTTTGATGTGTGAAATTCAATTTAAGTTGAAAAATAAAAATCCTCATATAATTATGTATACATATATAATTTAGTACATTTTCTTTTTAATGAAAATTCAAAATATAATTTTTTCTAGTAATTAATTTTAAAATGAAATTTAAATACCACAATGTTTCCAAAAAACAAAGGCAAAAGGAAAAAATAAGAAAGTAAAGAAAATAAATAAAAAAGTCAACAATCATCTCCCCAACCACAACCGATTTTTTTTATATTTCGCTTTTCTCTATTATATTGTTATCAGTATAAAACAAAAAAACAAAATCACATTAAAGCTAAAATAATTCCACCCTAAAAATGGGAGTTAAGCTGAACAGAAACAAAACAAAATTGATTACGGTTAGACCACTAAAGGTGGGATTATCAAAATATTTTAGCAATTTGAATCATTTTATAGTGATGTTGTTGTTGTGCTCTTCTTATTGTTATTATTATCGTTTTTTAGTACTAGAGAAATAAAGTTTATACCTTTCATTCACATTTTATTCATTCACTTATTCATTTATTCGTTCTCCTGTCTAATAAATAGAAAAGAGAAAGAAAATGAAAAAGGTAACACAAAATAATAATAAAGAGAAGAACAAAAAGCAGGTATAACACAGTCAACAAAGTTAAAATGTTTGTAATAAAGCTTATAGTGGATTAAAGTAATATAATAACAGTTCCATAGCATAGCTTAGAAAAAAAAAAAACAAAATAAAAAAGGCAAAACAAAAAATACGATTACAAAAGTTTTAGAACAGAAGTGGAAAGAACCGTTTACCGTTAAAAATAAAAAAAACAACAAACAATCAAATATAAGAAAAACATGAATTCAAAACAAAAAACAAAAATATTATTATGAAGTCTCTTAAAGATTTAAGATTGAAGATTAAAGGTGAAAGATTTTTATATTATTATTATTATGATTATTACTATAATGAATAAAAAACGGACGAAAACATAAAAATTTATAAGAAAACAACAACAAAAATAAAAAAAAAATTAAGGTTGATTAACCCAAGGTACACCCAGAGAACAAAAAGGGATATAAAGAGAGCGTAAAAAGGGATTAACAATCACAAAAATTAAGATATTCAACAGTCGTGGAAGTTGTACACTCACATACACATATAATATATCAGAATATATATATATACCTATATAGATATACGTATTTATAATATATATAAATGTATAATTATGCAAAGGTATATTAGGATTAAATGAAATTAATTTTAAATTAGGGTTTTCTAAATTATTTGTAATTTAAATTTATAATTTTCTTAAAATTTTAACAAACAAAAAATAAGAAGCCCATAAAAATTAATTTAACTCGTTAAAATTAAAAGTTTCCCATATAAATTAAACGTAAAATATAATAATATACTGTTAAAAAAAAACATAATATGTGTTATACAAATTTCTGTAATAAATACTCGTATATATGCACATATAAAACATTTAGCTACCTTAATATTCTTAATGCTATAAATTAAATTAATAACAAGCTTTAATAACACATTTGTGCATAATTATGGTCATATATATATACATAAATACACGTGTGAAACGATAATCTAATTTAATTTTTAATTACCATTCCATATAACGTTTTAAGATTCTATAACCGATGTATATAACAAACCTTTACAAAGTATTTAATGATTTTTAACAACAAAAAATTAATGTAATCGGACATGTACCTTGTGCATTTCCAGAAGTCTGGCATTTGACAAAAACAGTTCGTCTAACTTTTTTTCCCTTAGAGTATTTTATCCTTATTGAAAACTCAACCATTGCCACTACAGTTCTTATTTTGTGAGCCACACGTTCGGTAATGTAAAAGTTAATGACAGTTCACGAACTCAAGGTTTATAATATTAGTTCTAGTCGCTTAACTCATTCAAAAAAATGCAACCAATTAGTAGTCAAGATATTGATCTTTTTAATACTATTATACATATTATATCCCCAAATAAGAGCAATTTTTCAATTATATTTGTAAAACCTGTAGAGAACTTATTGAACACATATGAATCAAAATTTGATGAAAAACTTGCTTAATTTGCATCAAATTATGAGTGTATTCTCGCTTCATTTGTTGAACCAAATTAGTATATTTTTTTATGGTATATAACATAGTAACAATTTTTATTAATTTATAATTAAAACTGGAAATTTGTAATTGAAAAACTAAAAAGGTTATAGTTTTTCATCCATAAATTTACTTTTAGAAAATTATAAATCCATACGTAGATCAAAAATATACTCATTTAAATTCGTAACAACATGAATTAAATATTTATTTAACTATAGAATTAAAATTTTTTTGTAGTTGTAAGAAAAAACTAACCTAAGTCAAATTTTGTAGTCCTTGATTTTTTTAAAAATAGCTCTATATACAGAGTGATTCGCAAAGGTTAGAGGATCGAAAATGTGTAAAACACTTTTTCCAGAAGGTGCCACATCTCAAGGGTTCCCGAGTTACAGGGATTTTAACGAATTTTAACAAAATTTTTACTTCTTCAAGTTTTTTAGATTACGATTTCCGTTCTGAAAAAGATTAGGATTTCAAACGAACAGTTTCTGAAAGGCCTACTAAATGGCTTAAAATAAACATGCTGCTTGATTCTGCATTTTATGTAACTTTAGGCAAAAGTTTCGGACTTTAGACAAAATCAAAATTTTCCCTTGTTTTATTTATGCAGTTTTTTCTAACTAGATAATTTCGCAAGAATTTTTTTTTGCAGAGCTTAAACTTTAATTTTAGAGCTGCTTAAACTTTAATTAAAGTCCTCAAACATTAAAAAAATTTTTATGATACAGAAAATTTACCACAAAAACCCTTTCTATCTAAAGAATTTAAAGCCCCACTTTTTTCTATTTTTGATTTTTACTTATTTTAAGCGTTGTAATTTTCAACTATCATTAATTTTGGATGACGAAAGCGTTGTTTTGGATAAACATCACGTTATTTTGTAAAAAATCTGAGTTTTAATGTTTTATTGAAATGTAATAAATAATAATAAAATTGAAACAACATTTTGTAGAAACTTTTAATTTGAAAAACAAAAATTTTTGAAAAGAATTGAAATTTTTGAAAAGAAAAACTAGAATTTTGTACTACGAAAAACAAAATCTAGTACTCGTAATCAAAAAATTTTTTTTTAAACTTTTCTTTGTATAGAAAAGTTTGTAAAAATTTTCTTTGTATAGGTTTTGTATTTTTGCCAGTTTTTATAAGAAATGGCACCTATATGGTTTAAAATTTTTAAATGCATTTTTCCCGCATTAGGTTCAATTTAAAAATTTGAAAAAAATATGTTCGTCTAGAAATATGTTCAAATCTAGACACCATTTGGCATCTGAGGTTATTAAAATTATCTAGCTAGAGCGAATTTTTAAAGTCATGCCATATAAATTTTGACATTTATTTCAATAGAAAAAAATTTTTTTTTTAACAGGAAAATTTAATTTTTTTAAAAATATGGAGTTCGTAAATAATATATTATTAATATAAGGAAGTTACTAAATTCTATATCGCTATATAGAATTTGAATTCGTTGCTAGGCAGAATTTTCCTTTGACTTTCAAGAACCGCAGGCGAACTAATTGGCCCAAGTTCCGAGATTCGCTAAGCGATCTCCTTGGACCCGGAGTCCCTTCACGTCCTGGGACGCCTGTGGACCTCGACAGTTTGCACGCTCACAGAGCTATAAATGGCGCCTCTAGGGAAGCGTGCCCTTTAACTCGGATAAGAGGCAAAAAAAAACACAATGTTGTCCGATAGGTTAAACACCCTTCGTAAAAAATGTAGGACTCAATTTAACAAGGCGAAGTTCACCGTGGCATCACCTGATTGGTGCGCTTATAGAGATGACCTGAGAAAATACAAGAAGGAGTTGAGAAGGGCTCAGAGGTCGCCCTAGAGTGAGTTTTGTGGCAGAATTGGAGAGACTGCGTAGGTTTCCAGACTTCGGCGGGTGTTGGCAAGTAACCCAGCCGTGCCAAGCTACTCGATGGCTGTTGGCGGCTCCTGGACCAATTCCGCTTTGGAGTCTCTAGAGCTGCTCTTGGATACGCACTTTCCTGAAAATCAGGAAGAGTGTGCTCCGAATAGTCATTTTGGCAGGTCCAGCGCGGGAGCAGTGATGACTGAGAGGGGAATACTTTGGGCCATTCGCGGCTTTGATCCATTTAAGTCGGCTGGCCCTGACGACATAGTGCCAGCAGAACTACAATGCGCTGCAGAGGTCATCCTTCCTTGGCTTAAGATCATCTATGAGTGCTGTATAGACTTAACCTACATTCCAAAAACGTGGAATGTTGCTAAGGCGGTCTTCATCCCTAACGCTGGGAGAAGTTCTCACAGCTGCCCAAAGATTCTTAGACCTATCAGTTTAACTTCATTTCTATTAAACTTGACTGCCGCTGTTTCTGGAAATCACCTATACACCGCAGTGATGAGGCTGATCCTTATGTACGGCATTCTGTTAATTTGAAATATGCGATTGAATAGAAATAGATTTGAAAAAAGAAAAACATAAATTTTTCCCGAACTAGGTGAATTTCATAGGCGAATTTGGGGTTGGTTTTGAGAAATTTGTAAAATTTTTGGATAAAGGAATATTAAATTAAATTTAATTTTATCAACATCTAGTTTCATTTTAATTAAATTTTTGGCTCACAATATTCGTGGTTTTTGTGCTATATCTTCTGTACCATTAAAATTATTGACGACTTAAATTAAGGCTTAAACTTAGGGCAAAATTATATAAAAAAATTTTCAAGGTTTTAAAAAATTTCTTATGAAATTATCTAGTTAGAAAAAACTGAAAAAATAAAACAAGGGAAATTTTATTTTGATTAAAGTTGAAATGATTTGTATTTGGAAGATAGCCAGTCAATAATAAATGTTTTACATATTTTCTATTCTCTAACCAATGAATTATGTTGTTGTATAACTTTCAGAATCACACTAGACACCTATACGTTATTATGTATAAAGGTAAAGATAACACTTTTTGTTAAATTTGTTTTTGTAAAACTTTTATTTAAGACAATAAAATTAAATTTTCAATTTAATTTACTCGAAACACAATTTTTTAACTTAGCAGATTTTCTACAAATTTTTGTTGAAAATTATTTCTGTTCATCAGCAAATCATATATTTGTCACAACTCTATAAGCACCGAATTCAAAATATTTTAGAAAAACTGTTATTTATTTACAATAATTTAATTAAACTTCTTAATTAAATAGAAGTACATTAAAATTGAATTACATTAATATTAAACTATAGACTTTTTTATATTTAATTTAAATCACAAACTCAGAATAAACTACTGGTTTGTTTGAAAACACAATTTCTCTTGAACAAAATGAAAGATTTTTTGAAGAAGAAAATACTTTTTACATATTGTATTGCATACAATAAAATTATGTGATGGCACCAAATTTCGGATTCCGAGACATAAATTTAGTTATGTCTATCGTTTCATCCAGCCGTTTTTACTAACGTTAACTCAAAAATGTATGCGAACTGGCCAATTTACCACTTAAATTATGATTGTGGGACAACTTAACTAAATGTTTGAATTTAAACTTAACTTAAAAAAAAAAGTAGAGACTTCAAATCACTGTCACATTCGAATCCCTAATGAACTAATATCTGATACATTATAAGAGCTACAGTGTTCAAATTTTACATTCAGATGTATTTATTAATATATTATTCTACAAAAATGTTGTTAGGAAATGTATAAATATTTGTGGAAGTTAATGGTTACGAAATTTCCGCACGAGTTGACATAATATACTTGCATGCACATACTCTTCAAAAAAAACACAACATGATATTATAATTTTTATTATAATACAATATTATTTTATGAGAATTTAATAGAAATATTAATGCAATTTATTCAAACTTAAATGGAATATACGAAAATATACATAGTATAATAGTTATATATTAAACATAAAAGTATTATTCGCTCAATGTGTATGTATGTCTATTTTTATATAGAATATTTAAAACATACATTATTATACAATATGCAAATATAAATAAATTATACGTATACACAAAATATTTTGTTGGAGGAAAATTACTTTCAAAAAAATAATTCAATCATAATATTTAACTATAAAACACTAAAATTGATATATACAATTTATACATATTACATTATGATATACATAAGTACTCGTATACGTTTCGTATCATAAAAAAATTATACATATTCCAAAATAATAAAATATTTATTTATTTTTATGTGAATATAATAAATTTGAAAATTAGAATCTCGATGACGTGATATGTATCTAAACATGCACATAATTTTTACTTTATACATTATTCGTTCATATACTTTTTATGAAATATTAAATTAATATCCATAAAATATACACATATTTAGATATAATACGTACAAAAATGTATATGTTTATATGTATGTGTATGTTTACATGTATCAAATTAAATTTTTATATTACACTGCATGTTTTGTAAATATCTTGGGCATACGCACACAAACAATGTATCGAAATTCAATTAACGTAGTATATGTTATAATCAAAAAATCGTAACCAATGTAAAAATATTAAAACTTTTCTGAATAACGCAAAAAATTTAATAAAATAATCGATGGTGAAATTATATTTCAATTATTGTAAACATATACAAATACCATACTGCTTAGTTGTCAAATTCAAGTACACCAAATTGATTTTAATTCGCACACACACGAAAATTTTATTTAAAAAAAATTTTCCCGTAAATTCGAGATTCTGAGAAGTACTGTGACTTCAATAATGCGCTTACAACTTAAAATTTACAAAAAGTATCACATTCCAAAAAGTTTAGTGAAAGCTCTTGACATTGTACTCGTACACTTGCCCTAAATGCGTTTTATACGTAACGGATATGTGAAATAAATTAAATTGGATATCGAAAAAATCGAGCACGCTTTTCTTATACATGTCATATAAATGTTGCCAAAAATAACCAAATAAATAAACAAACATATATTTTCAGCAATAAAGTGCTTGTTATTAAGTTAGTTTTCTAAAATGCAGCATAAAAATAGTATGTTTTTAATGAAATCGTAACGTTTGTTAAAAATTAACATTTGCACAGAACATTAAATTGAATTTTCAAACCAACGTCAAAATGTGTATCAAAAGCTTTAGCAGCTTTTTTTACAATGTGAAGATATTGAAACCTCTGAGACGATAGTACAATCGTATTAATACCGTGCCTAAGCTTTTTATAAAGCATTATTGAAGTAACGGGTATTGTGTTCACAAAAATTAAAGTTTTCCCTTTCTTTCAAGTAGCTCTGCAATTTTTTGTAGGGCAAACAAAGCTGTGCAATTTTTCATAGTGCAAGTGCAGTAACTAATAAGTACGAAATTTAGCTTGAATTTAGGCGCATTTCCTAATAAAAGTAGGAAATGCGCCTAAATTCAAGCCAAAATGATTGTTTCTATCAAAAACTCGTATACTTTTTACATATATATCACACATGTAGATTACACATATATTTTAGTGTGTCACATCATATTACTTAAAATCTATAAAGAACTCTGACTTAAACTGAATGCTTCAAAACTCTACACTTTAATTACTTAATATACAAACTTATAATTGCTGAAAACTTTTTATCTTTTGAAATTGAAACACAAATTTTTTTCCTGAAAGTTCATACACTTTATACATGTGAAGCATTGAGAAAAAGATTAACTCAGAAAAAAAATTATTTCAGTACTAATAATGTGTTCAACAATATTCACACGTGCCGATATAATGCAAGTTCAAGTTAATGACGAAATTATAAAACTAATAATTATTATTTTCGTATTTACTAGTGTATACTATATGTAAGCCCTAAAAATTTTCATAATTTCTTCGATAAATTTTCTTAATTTCCCAATACACTACAAGAATATAATTGGTATTCATTACAGAAGTAATAAAATACTTATAATTATATGTACATAATGATTTTTAATATCTATATAATATAATGTAAGAAATAAATATCAGTGTAGATAAAAGAATTGAAGAATTGTAATACTCGTAGTTTGTGTGTATAATACATAGTAAATTTTTCCCTTAGGAAAATCTTATATTGTTAAAAATCATTTTTCTTATTTTCAATTCAATTTTTTTTTCTTTTGTTTTAGTTTTTTATTTTGTTCCTTTTATGTCATTCTGTATACGTTTGCTGGCCGCAGGAGATATCATATTGGAACGCATAACAATTCTTTACTATCTCTTTGGAATATCGTATAACAATTTTTTCCTTATCATATCAATTTTTTTTTTTCGTTCTTCTTTCTTTTTTCTAATTTTTTTTATCCATCTTTCTTTTAGTTATTTACTTTCATTTCTCTTACTTCATTTTTACCTTGATTCGAAGTTTATCAAGGGATTAATTTTATGCGTGTTAAACGAACATTTAAGTCAGATTGGATTAGTTTTTATCGTATAATTTCAAGAATTACGACTGGCTAAAAGGAAAACAAGAAAAAACAAAATGGATTTTATTACACAAAAAATAAAAAAGGAAAAAAATCATAAAAAAACTGAAAACTAATAATATTATAATAATATAAAAATAAACAAACACAACCAAATACAATAGAAATATATTAGAAGGATTAACCATTGCAAAAGAATTGAATTAACAGGACATCGGGACACTGAAAAAGTTAACGATTAATACGTGCCGGTTAAAAGAGAAAAAAATTAAGTAACTACAAACAAAACACAAATTATTGTCCTAGTCTACGATTCGTTCATTATTTGAAAGCAAATTTTTCCTTTTATTTTTGAACACATAAAACAATTTTTTAGAAATTAATTTTCTTACTTTCAGTTTCTTCTATAGTTATTTATTATTTAAATACAAACAAATCTTTAATGGAAATAAAATATGTACCCATGTTTGAATAGAATTTTCATAACTTGAATGTGCATTCTTAATATTGTTTGCCTAAATTCGCGCATATTTAAATGCAAATATATTTTATAAAATTTTTTAAGTGACAATCTTAGTTAATCAAAATAGCTTAGATTTCTTGAAAATTAATAACATTACAATTTAATTTATTATATGCTATTTTTTATATTACTAATAATTTATCAATAATATATAAAATAAAATAGCTGCAATTCAAAATTTTAATTTAAAAAAGTTAACAAATTGAAATAAACAATTACACTTATATGGTCACTCTTTAATTTCTATAATTTTCTTACTTTTATTCATTGTACACAAACCATAGTGTTAAATACAAAAGTAACAGTACAATATTCAATGTACATAATTTATATAATAAGAACTTCGGCAACAATCGTAAAATCTATGAAGTTTATCATAAAACTTCCTTACAAGTATAAAAATAAACAAACAAGATAGCATAATGAGAATATTTAAAAAAGAACAAAAAAAAAAATGGGAACTAGCTAAACATAACAACAATAGTTATAAAAAAACAAAAATGGAGTATAATAATAATAACAGCAACAAAATTATGTTGTAAGGATAAAGATAAATAGTCTGTCCTATTTCCTTTTGTAATATAAATGACCAGGTATACCATAATTTACAGGATTTTCTCTGTAGGAATTGTTGTTTTGTAGGTTTTTATAAATTTTTCTATTTGATTGAATTAATCTGTCATTGTATAAAATGAGAATATTATTATATGATGTATATTTGTATGTCTATATTATTGTGAGATTTGCTGCTAAGAATTATAAGTTTATACATGTTGCGTTCTATTTTTTTTTTCTATTTATATTTATTTGTTTACTCACTTTGTACTGCCTTCGTAGTTTTAATAATGTAGTAAATCGCCGCTATACAAATAATACAAAACTATATGTACATGTTCTTATACTTTAAAAAAGGAGAAATATATGTATGTACAAATAAGTATGCTTTTTAAGAATTTTCCCTTAAATGCCACAGTGTACAATGCTGGAAATTAATTTAAAATAAAGTTTTTCTATATTTGGCTGTACGAAAAATACCAAAGTATTACAAAAATGTCATACATATTAGGAGAATGAGAGATTTTTTCATTCTTCTTTACATTTTATACAAAAAATATGTGTAGTATATCGTATGTATAAGTACGAATGTATATAAATAAAACTGTTAATGCATAGTTTCTGTACATATTATTCTATGTGAAAAACTTTTTTCTATATAACATTTGTTTTCAAATTATCGTACAATGGACTTGTGATTTGATGTTATCGGGGGATATTAAAACCATTTCTTAATTGGAAATGTCTTTATAGCGATATTGAAGGACGTGGTTTTTTTTTCGAGTTTTAGATGTCGATTTTTGTTTTGTACTATTAAAAGTATATATTTGGTTAATTTTTCCATAGACGCATGACTTTAATAATTTGAAAATTTTTAAGAAAACTTTTTAAGTATAAGAAAAAGTTTTTTTTTTTTGTTTTTTCCTTCCATTCCTGAACTTTAATAATTATAGAAAATGAACAACATTTGATGTAATTAAAGTATTAAAACTAAATCGATATTTGTAAAGTTGTAAGAACTTTTTTTTGGGGTTTAAGAAAATAGAAAATGTTAAAATTAATTTCATAGACGACGATTTTTAATTTTAGATTTAAATGCTAAAATAAGTGATTGCAATTAAATGAAAATTATACTGAAACTTCTGAAATTTTGCTAAACTTTAACAAAATAAAAAAACACTAAAAAAAGTATAAAACGAAATTAATTATAAAAAAAAAATGTGTAAAACAACAAAAAAAAATTTTTTTCTTTTGAATCAAATAAAAAGCGAAATTTTAACACTTTTAATTTTTGTTTTGTTTCAGTTCCTTTAACGACTGTAGAAGGTGTGTTAGGACGTCAAGCGATGCTGCCATGTGACATAGCTCCAATGGAGCGAGATGATGCTGTATATATGGTTTTGTGGTTTCGTGAAGGCGATGGTGAACCTTTATATAGGTAAATAACGTAAACATCTTTAATTTTTCAAAAATTTTTAAAAATATACATATATATGTACATATATTATTGAAGTATTCCAAATAAATTTATTTAAAAATATTCCGAATAAATAGCTTTTTCGACAAAATGCTATTGGAATAATTAATATTTTTTTTATTAACGACAGCCCGCAAAAAAGATCTTTGCATGATTCTAAAATCATAATATCTATACAAAAAAACATTTACTTCTAATACTAATAGAATTTCAGAATTCTTCAAAAATTTTTATAAATTTCTATTTTCTATCGGTTTCAGTTCTAAGTTCTTCTTTGATTAAAAAGATGTTGGCCTAACCTTTATCAATAGTATATTGTCTTTATTAAACTTAATTCCAATATACCGAATCTCTGCTTTCATTACAAAATGATTTGTAATAAAAGCAGAGATTCGGTATATTGGAATGAATTGAAATATAAATATTTCAATTCAATAAACCAATGCATTTTTTATTATTTGAATAAATTAAGAAAATAAAATTAAGTTAGAACGTTTTCAAAACACTATTAAGAGTAAGATCATTATAGGATAAAGTTTGTATAGTTCGTGAAACACAAATAAAGCGTATATCTTAAGTTTTATGGTTACAATGACTATTATGCCTAAATACTGAAAACCTTGGCATTATTATAATGAAATTATTTTAAGATTTTGCTTGAAGTTTAATTTTTATATTGAATTAAAACTGTAGTAAAAATATGTAGTTCACATGAACACTTTCTTCTGTAAATTTCAAACATTCAAAATTTCATTAATTTCAAATTGAAATCAGATATCATTCAAAAAGTATTTTTTACTCAAAACTCAAAATTACATGATATGCAAATTTAATAAAAAAACCAAATATTTAAAATGAGATGACACTATACAGCAAATGAAATATTAATAACACCATGCATTCATTATAAGTGTACAAATATATTATTATTCATTAAAACTTTCACAAATACTGTACCTATACAGAATTTTCAAAACAAAAAAAAAATTATGCAGACAAAACTCTTTGTAGCCATACATCTCTTAAGCCAAACAAAATAATCATATACGAGTATGAAAGTGATTTAAATACACACGTCCATAAATATAGTCACCGTATATGTATAAACATATTTTATATCATAATTCATATAATTCACGTGTTTACTTTATTTAAATCACATAATATAAGAAAAAAATTTTTGTTCCTCACAACCAAAACATAATTTTTTAATAATCAAAAAAAAAAATTATGTGTTTTTTTAATTCGGAAAACATAAATGGAACGAAGGCATACTTACACATCACATAAAAAGTCAAAAAAAAAAAAATGAAATTTTTTTATAACACATCGAATATTTATAATAAACACATTCAATATACATAACGTATACATGCATGTCTATACACACGCTCTTACGTGTGTATAGTCATGCATGTATTCATATCCTTCCAGCAGGGATAGCTTCTTTTTTTTTCTGTGTATACTGAAAACAGCATTAAATATAAAAGAAAAACCTTAAAAAAAAATGAGACAAACAATTTCCATTTCTCAGTTAAACCATAAAATCTCAATCTAAAAACATAATTGAGATATTATAAACTAATCCCTTATATGTATGTACGTATCCTTTGTTTTTTTTCTTATTTTTGGTTTTTCATAATGAAATTTCAACAAAAAAAAATTTATTAAACGCAACGTTAATGCCACATTGAATGCTTTTTTCTTTTGAATATCATCAGTTTTATTTTTTCTTAATTTGGAAATTGAATAACGTTTCCAGTTTTGAAAAGAATTTTATATAGGTATACAGTGAGCGTAGGCATGTATACTCGTATGATGCGTCTGATTTTCATTCAATACAATAAATTTGATATTTTTCAAAACGTGCGGTGTGAAATTAAATTTACATTATAAATACAATTTTTGTCTTTCCCATATATCCACTACGAAAAAGTTTTGAAAAAAATATTCACATTCACTACATTGAGTACATCTGTCTATCTGTAATAAAATTTTTATATAAGATATACAAAATATTCACAAAACTTTTAGTTTTAACGAATGTGTAGCAATAAATTCAACTAATTTTTTCAGATAGTATAATTTTAATCAAAATAATTTTTGTAATCTTCCGCCTTAACGTATGCAATAGAATATGATAACAAGGAAAATATAATAGTAACATTGATTTTATGTATGCTTAAAGTACTCAAGAGCAGACTCAAGTTTTTCCCTTAAATTGTGAAAGTAAATCGTTTAAGTACATTTTTTAATCCATCATGTGATTTGAATAACAAGTTATTTTAAACTGTTTAGCGAATTTAAATCAGAGAATCATGTTCTAACTCCAATATTTCCAATTTAAATATTAAAAATGGATATCATAAAAATAAAATAAAGAAAAATAAACCGGCTCAATTAGTCAATATAAAAAATTATCTTAATTAAAAGTGCACATTTTATTAGATTTAATTGGCAATACTGCGGCAATTTGATACATAAACTTGTAATAAATACAAAAATATTAATAAAACCTAATATATATTATACAATGTTTACATGCATATTTTGTTATACAAGATTTTCGCAATGTAAATTTATTTGACTTTCTTTTCTAAGTATATTAAATATGTACCAAAATATATGTATGTAGGTGGATATGTACTTATATACTTGATACTTTTCATATATTTTTATACTGAAACCTCTACTATCTCTCATATATTTTTATTTTCACCTTAAAATTTTAACCCACATACATACACATAAAAAAATATACAACGTATATGAATTTGAAATACAATTACGTAACGTTTTCGTATAACATTGCAATAACTGTATAACGTACACAAATATATATGCCCATGTATAAATGTACATATGTATATATATGTACATAATATTTATGTATACAAGGTAACATATTTTGTACTTTTATTTTGTGGTTAGTACGTGCGTGGGAAATAATTGATGTTTTCATATCATAAAATTTTAGTTAAAACATTTTGTATCATGACATGAAACGAACCACTTTTTTTCTGTTTACATCAGAGATTTTAAGACTAATAATATTATTACTAGTACAGAACTAGAAAATAATATATGTATAGGAATATATAGAATTATTATGATGTAAGTGAACATGTTCATATAACGGTAAAAAAAAATGTAGCTATGTATCCGAGAGGAATGTATTAAAAATGTGTTACTATAACAATATGCTGTCATAACGTACACATAAAAAATATTATAAATACTCGTACAATTATGTATTTATTAACATATTACATACTGGTATTTAAAAACATTATGTATATGTCTATACATAGTTCTTCTAAAATTATGGTATTTATGTGATTTTAAATGTAAAATTTAAATCTTAATTTAGTAAAATTTAAATATTTTAAATTGAATTTGTAATAATGTTATATACAGTTACATTTCGAAACTGGTTTTATACATATTTAAAACTTTAAGTCAATTCCTTTTACCATAAAGGTTTTTAAATTTATTATAATATTGGTATCATTAATATTCGAGCCTCTGCATAAAATTTAAATTAGGAAAATTTTTAAATATTCTTTAAAGAAATTATACTAAATAGTGTCTATTAAATTAAGTAGTGTCGGGTCATGTACAAAATAAATAAGTAAAATGTTCAAACTCAATTTGTTGTTTCATGTTTTAAAACTCTTATTAATAAAGTTTAAGAAATGATTTTCATTATTATTTTTTATCCTTCCCACTTTCCAGCGATAGATTCAAGAAATTTTAGTTAAATATTAAACAAACGTAATAACTTTGAAAACTTAATGCAAGAAATTAATTTTCCTGTTATCAACAAAATCCCAGTTTCCGAAATTAGATTATAAGACCCAGGTTGCAAAGGCCATATTTATAGATTTAAACGAGAGCTTTAAGTATTTTCATTGCTCTGTAAAGGAAACCAATCTGTTCTTCCTATTTCTCAATATATACTTTTTAAAGAGCAATTTCTAGGTTTCATAACATTGTAATTTTAATAACTTTTATATTTTCCTTTTCCAAATGTTTTCAATCGAGTAAATTTTAAATTTAAATTATTTGCAAACAATAAATTTTTGTGTAAGTGTTAATTGCCAAAACCATTTCTTTTATTTAAAATTTACTTAAAGGTTGCATAATCTATTAGAAAATTCTTTAAAGTACTTAGATATATTCTCATATATAAAAAAATATTTGCAAAATGAACTCTTTCAAAATATTTTACATAACAGTATTACGTAACAATCAAACTATTATATTGCCTACATCGATATTTTTACAATAACTGTTATTCGAAAATGCCCTAAAATGAAATAAACTGAATTTTTAATACATAGTCCTATATATTATATAACCTCAATACGAAGCAATTATTTCCAACAATAAACTAATTTTTGTGGCCCTGAAAAATGCAAATAATGTAATGTATGCAATGGCATAATTTTTTACATACGTATATATAAATATATATGTTAACAGATTATGAATGTGTAAGCCGAATCAACTAACATATTGTATACACTTATCGTGTAAATATGTACACTTATTGTGTACATAATGTAAAAAAAATTTTTCATAACCAAAAACTTAACGTTGATGAGGAAAATTTACAAGCGACCTTCTAAAATTTTTTGGTTAAATGAAAAACAAGTACAATCTATAACAAGTTTGATATAAATGCATGTAGTTTGTATATATATATATATTGTATATACCATCTTCTGTTGTGAATCTTGAATAATTTGAAATTTGTTTTAGTTTTGTCATTAATAATATTTAATGATAATATGTACATTCATTTAATCCTATATATATGTGTTTATGCAGAACTACTTCAAATAGTTTCTATCTATAATGCAAGCGAAACAATGCATTTATTTCAAATGTGTACTGTAAGTGCAATATGAAAGCTCAAATCGTATTAGAATTCAATATTCGAGATCGAAGCTCAAATA